TCACCTTGAATCGACTCAGAAGTCACCTTGAGTCGACTCAAAAGTCACCTTGAATCGACTCAGAAGTCACCTTGAGTCGACTCAAAAGTCACCTTGAATCGACTCAAAAGTCACCTTGAGTCGACTCAAAAGTCACCTTGAATCGACTCAAAAGTCACCTTGAGTCGACTCAAAAGTCACCTTGAGTCGACTCAAAAGTCACCTTGAATCGACTCAAAAGTCACCTTGAGTCGACTCAAAAGTCACCTTGAGTCGACTCAAAAGTCACCTTGAATCGACTCAAAAGTCACCTTGAGTCGACTCAAAAGTCACCTTGAATCGACTCAAAAGTCACCTTGAGTCGACTCAAAAGTCACCTTGAATCGACTCAGAAGTCACCTTGAGTCGACTCAAAAGTCACCTTGAATCGACTCAGAAGTCACCTTGAGTCGACTCAAAAGTCACCTTGAATCGACTCAAAAGTCACCTTGAGTCGACTCAAAAGTCACCTTGAATCGACTCAAAAGTCACCTTGAGTCGACTCAAAAGTCACCTCATAACTGCCATGCTCAAGTCTTGTGAGCAATATCTGGCCTGCACTCACCTGAGAGTGGCAGGCGGTATTTGGCCCACACCTACCTGAGAGTGGCAGGCGGTATTTGGCCCACACCTCGTAGATCCCATCTGCCAGAGCGCCGACCTGACACACAGCAGGTGGAGGGTGGAGAGTGGGCGGGGAACAAGGGAGGGAAAGCGGAGACGAGAGGGGCGGCTGAAGATGAGACCACTGATGAGGAACTCACACCTCATCGATTCCGTCTGCTAGAGCGCCGACCTGAAACATAGCAGGTGGAAGGTGGAGAGTGAGGGATGGGAGGGGAAGCACGTATGGGGCACCTCAAGATGCTTTTGAGCGGACTCTGAAGCGGGATGGGAGGGGAAGAACGTATGATGCACCTCAAGATGCCAAGAGATTGAGCAGGACAGAGCAGCAATGGTGGTGGAGAGGTGAGCGATGGTGGCGGGACAGGAGGCATACCGGTGGGAATTTGGTGATGGCATAGACCCACCCGAGGCCAACCGCCTCGTAGAACTCACGAAAGGCCTGCGATTGGTTGGTGCGGGGTGGAGCAGAGATAAGGGAGGGAAAGTTACAATTCGCATTCGCACTCACCTGCCTCACTCTCACTCCCCCTCGCACTCAAATCGCCCCACAATCCTTGCCTCCAAATTCTCCTGCCCCTCACACTCTCCTGCCGCCTCACACTCTCCTGCCGCCTCACACTCTCCTGCCGCCTCACACTCTCCTGCCGCCTCACACTCTCCTGCCGCCTCACACTCTCCTGCCACCTCACACTCTCTTTCCTCACATACCTGCAGGCAGCACAACCTTCCATCCCCACCCATCAACATCCCACACCCACCTGTAGGCCAGTGACTACAGTGCCATCCCTTTCTTGGTATCCCGTGAATCGACCCCATAGCCGCCTCATACGTCCACTGTGCCCCGATTCCCACTCTCACCCCCACCCTCCTTCAGGCTCCAGGCTGCACTGCATACCCCACTGCACCCATCTGCACTCACCTCCACGCCAGTGACCACAGTGCCATCCCGCCGTATCCCATGAATCGACCCCATAGCCGCCTCGTACGATACACCCGCATGCTCATCCGCGCTATAGTCACCCGCTGCTACGTCCACAAACTTGAGCGTGCCAAACTCTTTATTGCGACCCTGTAGGAAGTCCACCTGGGGAGAGTGGGGGGAGGGGGGGGAGGGGCAGGGGGGAGGGGCAGGGGGGAGGGGCAGGGGGGAGGGGCAGGGGGGAGGGGCAGGGGGGTGGGGCAGGGGAGAAGGGCAGGGGAGAAGGGCAGGGGGGAAGTGCAGGGGGGAAAGGGCAGGGGGGAAGGGCAGGGTGAGAGTCATGTCACCCGCTGCTATGTCCACCAACTTGAGCGTGCCGAACTAGTTTTGAGACGTCTCAAAACTATCTCCACCAACTTGAGTGTGCCGAACTCCCTGTTGCGACCCTGTAGGAAGTCCACCTGCAAAGGGGCGAGGGGAGGGGCAGGGGGGAAGGGCAGGGGGGAAGGGCAGGGGGGAAGGGCAGGGGGGAAGGGCAGGGGGGAAGTGCAGGGGGGAAAGGGCAGGGGGGAAGGGCAGGGGGGAAGTGCAGGGGGGAAGGGCAGGGGGGAAGGGCAGGGGGGAAGTGCAGGGGGGAAGGGCAGGGGGGAAGGGCAGGGTGAGAGTCATGTCACCCGCTGCTATGTCCACCAACTTGAGTGTGCCGAACTCTTGGTTTCGACCCTGTAGGAAGTCCACCTGAAGAAGGGGCGAGAGGAGGAGGGGGGGGGGGGGGGAGAGTGAAAACACACACGGGACTCCCTTTCATGTGTTTCTGCCACCACCCATTCACACCCATTCACACCCATCCCCCCTCTTCCAATCATCTCCCCCACATTCCCCACCTTCAACCCCCATCCGCCATGCGTCATCCGCCGCCCTCACCCTTCCCCCCATCCGCCATGCGCGCACACCCCCTTTCTCCTCTCCCCCCCACCAGTCGGCCCATGCGCACACCTCTCGCATGCAGATCGGGCAGTCGCCATCGTACAGCAGCTTCAGCTGCCACGTGTCGCCCTCTGATTCCTCCGCCGTCGCCTCTTGCACCGGGCTTGCTGTGGGGCGGCGGCAGGATATGAGAGGGGGAAAAGGGGAAATGGGGGAGGGGGAGAGGGGGGGGAGTGGGGAAATAGGGGAGGGGGCGAGGGGGAGATGGTTGAGGGGGAGAAAGTGAAATATGGAGGGAAAGAATGGGGAAGGGGGAGCGTGGAGGAATGGTGACGGGAGATGGGGAATGGGGAGGGTAGAAGAGGGGCAATGGCGGAGTGAGAGGGGAGCGAAGAAGTGGTAAGCGCTAGTAGCGGCGGGTGAGGTTGACTCCAAGTGACAGTGGAGCCGCTCTGTCACAGGTGAGCCACTGACCTTGGGCCGTCGCTCTAACCGACAGGTGAGCCACTGACATTGGGCCGCCGCTCTAAGTGACAGGTGGGCCACTGACCTTGGGCCGCCGCTCTAAGTGACAGGTGGGCCACTGACCTTGGGCCGCCGCTCTAAGTGACAGGTGGGCCACTGACCTTGGGCCGCCGCTCTAAGTGACAGGTGGGCCACTGACCTTGGGCCGTCGCTCCGCTGAAACGACGGAGCCGCCTTGCGATGGAGCGCGCCGCGCCATCATCGGCGGGAGCAACGCGCCCTGTGAACGGCGACGCGGCACAGCGCGCCACGATGAGTGAATGAGCATTACTAAGAGAACTGCTACTGTTACCGCCGGGGCGTCTAGGACTAGGAGCAACGGCTACAGACAAAGTCGGCACTGTCGCGGCTCGACTGAGCACAGGAATTTGTGGGGGAGAAAGCGCCGCGACTGCAGGGCGGCATGCGGCGGTCGCGGCCGGCACGGAGATTCGGGCCGCAGCTGTGCGCGCGAGTCGGAGTCGCGCGGTGGACGCGGAGGAGACGGTGGCAGCCATTACGAGCTTGGAGAATTAACAAACGACGCTCGTGACGCAGAGTCGTAAATGAGCGGGAAAGCAAGACGCATGTACCGTGGAAATCGAGTATTCAGTCTCAGTTCTAATAGAGACTTTCAGAGCCGAACATAACACTAGCTTGGTTCCAAGGTAAGAATGTGCCCCTGTCGCGCGGCACGACGAGCTGTGCTTATGGTGTGGTGAGCCGCGGTGATGTAGGTTGGCGGAAACCAACGGCCGCGCAGAACGAATAGGTGTGCGTTGATTGGGTAACACGTGACGAGATGAAGGGATCACCTGGTGCCACGACAGCTCTAGAAAACCGTTCTTAGGCGGCCACGCCAGCGTATGATATACGCGTTATGAGGCGTTTAGGAGCCTCGCTGCATTTCGACTTATTATGCTCGCTTCAGAAGTGTTTGCGTCCAACCCATTTAAAAAAAAAATGATATACGCGATAAAAGCCGTCATATCCAGCTAAAAGATAGCCACTTTCTGGATTTCACATTTTCCATTCGTGATCGGCCTCAGTGCCAGAACCCTTCCTCCCCCCTCGTATCCTCCTCCCCTAATAAGAACCTCCACGCAATGGAGGCTCTTTCTTCCCGCCAGCTACTAACGAGCCCGATTTCCCTTCGCTCCTATACTCGCGCCCGCGATACAGTCACCGTTCGACCTTCGTCGCTCCCTGTGCTCTCGTCGCGCACCCGCGTGACAGTCACACCCACCGCCAGCGCTTCCTTCAACGGGGAAAAACCCCGCCAAGCGCGCAATGCCGCTCCGCCTTCCGCCGTGTCGCAATCCGCGGAGTCGCGCGCGCAGCAGGCAGGGGCGGCGGGCGCGGAGAAGGAGGAGCCGCTCCCCGTGTCGCATCTGACGGCGATCTCCCCCGTCGACGGGCGCTACGGCCGCCTTCCCGCGCTGCAGCGGCTCCGCCGCATCTTCAGCGAGTTTGGTCTGATTAGATTCCGCGTGCTTGTGGAGGTGCGTGATAGTAGCGAGGGGCAGCATTAAATTAGCACGCATTGCTGATGTTACTACAGTAAACTGATGCTTTTTCCCCCTTTCGCGTTCTTCGCCCCCTCGCCCCGCCTCTTTTTCTCCCCCCCCCCTCCCTCCAGCCTCTTCCCAAAACCTACAACCCTCCAATCCCCCCATGCCGCGCTGCCCTTGCGGTCCCCAACCCCTTCCTCCCGCCGACCCCCCCCCCCCCCCCCCACCAGGTGCGGTGGCTGCAGCAGCTGTCGCGCATGCCCGAGGTGGTGGAGGTGCCGCCGCTCTCCCCCAAGGCCCACGCTGATCTGGACGCTGTTGTGACAGGTGGGCTAGGGGGGAGAGGAGTGGGTCGATGGGAGTGGCGAGAGGGAGGGGACTAAGTGTGGCTAGTTGGTGTGCCGCCGCTCTCCCCCCAGGCGCATGCTGATCTGGACGCTGTTGTGACAGGTGGGCTGGGGGGGGGGGGGGGAGAGGGAAGTGGCAGGTGGGTGGGGTGGGGAGAGGAGGAGGGAGAGGAGAAGAGCATTTAGGTGGGAAGAGGGAGGAGTAAGGTCGAGGGAGGTTGTGGAGGTGCCGCCCCTCTCCCTCCAGGCACATGGTGACTTGGACGCTGTTGTGGCAGGTGGGTGGGGTGGGGAGAGGAGAGAGGGAGAGGGGAGTGGCAGATAGGTAGGGAGAGGGTGGAGTAAGGAGAGCAGGTAGTGGAGGTGCCGGCCCTCTCCTCCCAAGTGCACGCTGACTTGCTGCCGTGAGGAGAGGGGCATAAAGAGCGTGAAGGGGAGGAGAGGGGAGTGCGTGAAGGGGGCTAGGAGAGGGGAGTAGAGAGAGAGGCACAAAGAGCGGCCGGTTGGTGTTGTGTTGTGCATGAAGGCCCCTCGGTTTCATGCGTAAAGAGCAAGGGGAGGCAAGTTGACTCACTCATAGACATTCTAAAAGGTTATTTACATGATTGATTCTACTGGTGGATGGGGTGGTGTGCGGTGCTGCAGGGTTCAGCGAGGCGGACGCACAAGAGGTGAAGCGGGTGGAGGCAACAACCAACCACGATGTGAAGGCGGTGGAGTATTTCCTCAAGGCTAGGTTCCAGGACCACCCCGAGATCAGCCCGGTGAGTGTGATGTGAAGGCGGTGTGATGTGAAGGCGGTGTGATGTGAAGGCGGTGTGATGTGAAGGCGGTGTGATGTGAAGGCGGTGTGATGTGAAGGCGGTGTGATGTGAAGGCGGTGTGATGTGAAGGCGGTGTGATGTGAAGGCGGTGTGATGTGAGTGGGAGGCATTGCAGTGACAACCAACCACGATGTGAAGGCAGTGGAGTGTTTCCTCAAGGCTAGGTTCCAGGACCACCCCGAGATCAGCCCGGTGAGTTCACTGACCGCCCTGGGATTAGCCCGTGAGTCGGCAGTGCAGCAGGGGCAGTGGCGGGTGAGTGGGGAGGGGCTGTAAGATCTAGGGCAGTGGCGGGTGAGTGGGGAGGGGCTGTAAGATCTAGGGCAGTGGCGGGTGAGTGGGGAGGGGCTGTAAGATCTAGGGCAGTGGCGGGTGAGTGGGGAGGGGCTGTAAGATCTAGTGCAGTGGCGGGTGAGTGGGGAGGGGCTGTAAGATCTAGGGCAGTGGCGGGTGAGTGGGGAGGGGCTGTGAGACCTATGGCAGTGGCGGGTGAGTGGGGAGGGGCTGTAAGATCTAGGGCAGTGGCGGGTGAGTGGGGAGGGGCTGTGAGATCTATGGCAGTGGCGGGTGAGTGGGGAGGGGCTGTAAGATCTAGTGGAGCGAGCACTCTGCATTGCAGTCACCAACTGTCATGGTGTGATGTGAAGGCGGTGGAGAGCTTTTCAAAGGCCTTTAAAGGCTCTAGGACCAGCTTGAGATCATCTCTCTTCCCCCCACCTCTCGTCCATCTCTCCCCCACCACCTCTCAGATTCTTCAGTGTTCTTCCACGTGGCATGCACGTCAGAGGACATCAACCTCTATCCTTTCGCATTCCCCTCCCCCTCCCCCTCTCGTTCGTCCCTCCCCCAACCCTACCTTGCAGATTCTCGAGTTCTTCCACGTGGCATGCACGTCAGAGGATATCAACAACCTCTCACACGGCCTCAACCCCATCCCTTTCCGCTTCCCCTCCTCCCCTCTCCTCCCTCTTCCTCCGTCTTCCTTTCCATTTTCGGATTCTCGAGTTCTTTCACTTCGCGTGCACGTCAGAGGACATCAACAACCGGTCCCACGGCCGCATGCTGTCAGCCGCAGTGAAGGATGAGGTGCTGCTACCTGGCAGGCTGAGATGAGACCCAACCACCCCTTCTCCCTTCCTCGCACCACCTGCAGATCCTGGAATTTTTCCACTTCGCGTGCACGTCAGAGGATATTAACAACCTCTCGCACGGCCTCATGCTGTCAGCCGCCGTGAAGGATGAGGTGCTGCCCGCCATGGATGGGGTGATCGCCACGCTAAGGGGCATGGCGCATAAGTATGCGGAGCAGCCCATGCTGTCGCGCACCCATGGGCAGGTGAGCACACACAGACTGGCAAGTAGGCACGTACAAGTGCCAGACACGGCAGCAGGCAGGCCTGAAGGATGAGGTGCTGCCCGCCATGGATGGGCTGATCGCCACGCTCAAGGGCATGGCGCATAAGTACGCGGAGCAGTCCATGCTGTCGCGCACGCACAGGCAGGTGAGGGATTGCTTATATGCATGGCATGGAAAGGCATGGCATGGAAAGGCATGGCATGGAAAGGCATGGCATGGCATGCACCCATGGGCAGGTGAGTGAGGGGTTACTGTGTGGATGGGTGAATGAGCACGGACTAGCAGGTATGGTTAGTTAGCATATGTGTGCAGGTGCAGCAGCACTCCCACCCCACACCTGCACTCACCTTCCTAGCCCATGCTGTCCCACACTCACGGGCAGGCGAGGGGCGGGTGGCATGGGTGATGTTTTTCACCTGGTTATCCACGTTCCCCTTATCAAGGTGAAAAAAAAAAAAAAAAAAAAACATCAACCGTTCTCTCCTGTTTATCGCTCACTCTCTCATATTTCTCATCACTCCCATTTCTTTCCTTGTTTTGCTTCTCCCCTATTTTGTCCTTTCCTCCAGACCGCTTCCCCCACAACGGTCGGCAAGGAGCTGGCGGTCTTCGCCGCCCGGCTGCAGGCGCAGCGAGATCAAATCTCCGCCGTCCAGATCCTCGGGAAAATGGCCGGCGCGGTGGGCAACTACAACGCCCACGTGGCGGCGTACCCGGATGCTGATTGGTCGGCTGTGGCAGAGGAATTCGTGACGGGGTTAGGGTTACGGTTGAATCCGTATGTGACGCAGATCGAGCCGCATGACTACATGGCGGAGCTGTTTGATGCCGTGTGCCGCTTCAACACCATTCTCATTGATCTGGATCGCGACATGTGGGGATACATTTGGCTGGGCTACTTCCGCCAGGTGTGTGTGGGATGGGGAAGCTGGTGGGTGTCGGTATGATAGGGCTGGGACTGCAGCAGGCTGATCTGATCCACATGACCATGTGGCGGCGCTCTTTGATGCCGTTTGCCGCTTCAACACCATTCTCTTGGCATTCTTTCTGCCATGTCGCGACATGTGGGGGTACATCTCCCTTGGCTATTTCCGCCAGGTGGGTATGGAGGGTGGGGGAGGGAGGGGCGGGGGGAGGCAGGGGGCAGAAGGGGGTTGGGGGTGTGGTTGGTTGCATGTTTGTGTGTGTTTGTGTCAGTGAGTGTGGGGGAGAGAAGGGCATGAGGGTGGGGGATTGTGGCAGAACAGCCTTGGGATTGTCTTTCCCACCCCAATTCATCCGCACTCCTCCCTTCTCTCTCCCTTCTCCTCGCTTTGCCCCTTGAATCTCCCACCAGCGGCCTGTGAAGGGTGAGATTGGCTCCTCCACCATGCCCCACAAGGTGAACCCCATCGACTCTGAGAACAGCGAGGGCAACCTTTCATCTCCATCCCCCTTGACTCTCCTTTCCTCCTCTCCCCAATACACATTTATGTGCTT